TGCCTCTCCTTGAATTTGAGGAATTCAGTGAATTCTTCGTTACCTAATATAGCAAGGAGTTGGGGGCCTACTTATCAGCCCCTTCCCGTGCCTTGTTCAAATTTACTTTTTCTAGGGCTTCTTCTTGTCTCTTGTAGACCGCATAAGTCTCTTTCCTCTTGCAAGGAATGGGACTACCTGGAGTGCCTGTTGAGCCAATATAAGCAATTTCATTATGTCCAGCAGAATCATGCATTTCTATTTGCTCATGGACATACAATCTGCGAGATCGCTCTTGTGGAGTTGCGACAAGGGTTTTACCTGGAGGGTCTTTCTTTGCCTCTTTGGGCTGCTTGGCCTTTGAAGAAGGCTGCGGTTTGCCAAACATGGCTGGGCGATTCACCCCACTATCATCGCTGCTTGACTCGTCTACCCAAGGGGCTGCCTTGCAAGCCGTCTCCACTTCATGAGGTGCCTTGTCCCTTGGTGCTTTCTCAAGCTGCTCCAGTGCCTTGGCCTGAGCTACTAGGTCCAATTCATTCACCAAGTTGATGGATTCAATAAGCTACACCTTTTGGTTGACGCTTATATGAAGGAATTGATAGACCTTAGCCCTGCGTTGGTATTTCCTTGCTCGCTTTTGCTCATACTTATTGGGATTCAACTGTTTATCCCGTTGCTGTCTAGGAGCTTTTTGCTCTCTACAATATTGACCTCTATGAGCTTTCCGCTCATCAAGCTACCATACACAAGCAACCTGCTCTCGGTTGTAGGCATATTACTGTTCCTTTTTGTGCAATGAACCTGTGCCCTTCTTGACATATCCTCTAGCAATGGGAAGCGTAGGATGAAAAAGAAAGTTCTGAACATTTCTCCCATCACTGGTGAGGGTCATCCAGAACTGGCCTCTCAGGGCTGCCGTCACTAAGATCCTATGGCTCAGGAATATGCCTGAGCGCAAAGGCTTTTTTTTCCGGCCAATTGGGATCATCTCTGGCAATTTGATCCCCCATGTTGGTGCCATACCACCACTAAATTTTAATCAGCTTTGCGGTGGAGAGGCGCATGCCAAACCTTTCCGAGGCTATTAACCAGCCTTCATCAAGGTTCTCAAGCCATTCTGAATGGAACTTTGTCCATAGGGCAGTGCACCTTTGTGGTCTGCTGCACTGTGATGTGAGGTCTGGCTTGAATTCCAATATTCGAGCATCCTCTTGCAGGCCCCATTCTGGGTTCTCAGGTCTGTTGGGACTCGGGTCACACACCCGATGTGCACTCTCTATTAAGGAGTCCCCATTGGGCTGCTCTCCATCACTAAATATCTTAGCATGCACTTGTGATCTAACCCGATGTACCCGGGTTCTGGCTGATGGGCCTGCTTGCTCGCCTATCTCAAGCTGCTGAAGGTTCTCACCTGGCAAAAGACTCTTCCTCTTTGCCCTGAACCAGCCGACCTCCTGCCACTCTCTAGCTGCTTTTGGAATACTTGGTATCTTCAGTCCAATCAGATTGGTGGCCCTCCCAGGCTGCTGGTGAATTGGCAAAGCCCGCTCTTCCGCCTCTGGGCTCGCTGCTTCTGCTTCAACAAACGGTCGCTCAAGATAAACACTTGCTCCTGCGCAAAGGCCTTCTTAACTTCAACCTCCTTACTCTACTCCTTGGCCTTTTTTAAGGCCAGTTCATGCTGATGCGCCTCCTTTCAGGCGGAGGCGGCTTCGATCTCCAGCCGTGCAATCCAGGCTATTGCGTTCTAATCATGGGCCTCCTGTGCCTTGGCGGCCATAGTTACCACCATTCTCTCCAACAACTCCATTATCCCAGGAGCTTGGAGAAATGCTGCCATTGTACCCGGCTCCACCGGTGCGTCTGTGGGGGTCTCCCCTGCCTCTTCTATCAGTTGGTTCTGCACCTCAACTTGTGTCTGACAAGTGGATGGCCCTGTTGCATCCTCCCGGACTGCCCCCTCATTGTCTGACTTTCCCTTATGGGATGCTTCCATGCCACCAGTGTCCACCACCGGCACCCCATCTCGGGTTGCTGATTCGGCCACTTCCGCAGCCTGGCCTTGACAGGCTGCTTTCTTTGATTCCTCAACCTCCATGGAGGAGGCTGGAGATGGAGTCCTCTTGCATTGTCCTTACCTTCGCGCACAGTTGAAGTGGGCGAGGCACCTCTATGTGGCTACGAAACCAAACGATACAACACTGTTAGTGGTATAGAGTGCCTGCACTCTTTAAGCCATGGACCCGCCTTGCCGGGTACCTAGGTCCTTACGGGGACTTAGGCAGGACCACCCAAACCTACTCCCATATTGTATACTAATATAGGGTTCTGTTGGGGATCTGTTACCATATCTTGGGCAGGTTGTCCCCCACACCAAAAGACCATTAGTAGGGCGTCCCCCACATCAAGCCTATATGCGTAATATCTACGGCATACCACCCGCCCATCCTGCCATGCTCTGGGGGCGATACGGGCCCCTAATAGCTGCCATGGTTGCATATATGTTATTGCCACATCAATTCACCTGTCCCTTTTGCGGGGTCGCATAGCTCATCACTGCACTAAGCACAAGGCCCTAGCCAAGTTTACACTCTCACCAAGGAAACACACGCGTGGTTCCCCGAGATTGTCTTTGCAATTGTGTCTAACATCCGGATGCGCATTCACATTGTTGCCGTTCGTTTGATCTAATACGATCAGCAGGATTTTTTTCATTGCGTCAGTGCGGATTGGTGCACATGATAATTTTTTCACTCTTGGACCTTGCATCCATATGTGGACACAGGCCCTCGACATGTCGGCATGGCCCTATTGGGTGAAGTGCAGGTTCCTAGCACATTGTGTGCACTGCCTCATGACTAACCGCCCCTTGCCACATGGTCGTAGTGGAATCGGGTACCATAAATCCTTGGTATTGGCTGCATATTGTGGTATGTATATAGATTGTCTATTTGGGTCTTTTGTAGTCATTGCGAATGAGGTTAGTTGTAATCTAAATCTTTCTGAACGATTGGTGGCTCCTTTTTGTCCTAGGCCTCGCAGGGCACTAGCTGGGTGAAGCATATACTAAGCTATCTTTATTGCTTTTCATTTTGTTATTGATTGGCAACTTGAACATAACCAAATTTTGCCTAAGGCTAAGTTGTTTTCTGTAACTTGTCAGTACTGCACAGTGAGACATGAGCAATGGGACACTTTGAGGAGGCACTAGTGAAAGGGGGGGCATCACATGTCCAAGGCACCACAAACTCGGAGTGGATTAGCAATGGCAGATGTGCACTAAAGCAAGAATACATCCCCAAATGTGTATTGCATGAAATCATTGTCATTCGCGGAAGGTCAAACACTATGATAGCCACCATTGGATAGCCAGTACACATCCATTTTAGGCCGTCCATAGCATCAAGGATCGGGGTGGCATTGGGAAGCGCCCATCATGTTGCAATAGTGCAGTGAATGAGGTTGAAGCAACTCAACTTGGTTTTACATACAACGTTGCTTTGTGGCCAAAGCCAACAATGTCTTAGGGCAGCAACACAAGCCTTTGTTCATTGAATAGTTGAGAGGATTAATGTAATTCATGAGTTTCTAGCTGGGGAGACGTGGGTGGGAGACAACAACATGTCAACAGCCTAGACGGGGCACCACACTGGGGTGTTGTAAGGGGCGACGTTCCCTTTGGCCGTTATACCCCGTTCGACTTGGGGACCGGTCAGGACGGACTTGAGTTGCAACTTTGATCACAAACTGGTCGGGTGTGACTGTATTTATACCTGCGTCCCAAGGCATCCCAGGGTCATGCCAGAAATAGGGTAGGTCATCCTATTTCTGGCATACCCGCCAGGTTTCAATTCGTAATTTGTTCGTCCCTTGTTCTTCCGTTTCATAGACGTTAAGGTCCAAAGGGCAGCGAGTGATGGCTGGTCAAATATTTGTACTTTGGGCATCACTGTGCTATGAAAACTGAGCCAGCCTGAGGAAGCGGCGTGCTTTTAAGAAGTACGTCTATTTATAGTTGCGCACACAAACTATCTCCATCCTATTTTGCTCTCCCCCCCGTCCATCCCTAGGGGTGTGAGTTCAGAAGAATTTGTGAAGCGCAAAGTACTGGGGAAAGTAATGTGGTTTGATTTGCAAAGCAAGGGCAAATTTAATAGTACAACGGTCATTGGGCCTTGTTTTGGGTGGCGGACGCCTGCTGGGAATACTTGTAACACACTTGGCCAGTGTGGACTCGAGCAGGAAGAGTATCCCGTCAGGCAGAAGAGGGTTAAACCCGGTTGGGGAGATACTTTTTCTGGCAGCTCTGCACAGTGCCGTTGAAAACCATGGCGGACAGCACTGTTTCTCTGCATTTCAAATTCCAACGTGGCGCAATTAGGCGGAATGGTTCAAACGTTCGTTTACAGCTCCTGCGCAGAATTCTTTTGTGCAAAGCACTCGAAAGATCGTGAGGGGAAAACTGCTGGGAGCACGTTGCCAAAGAACAACGAATCGTCTATCGTGCTGCCAGAATTCGCGCCTTGGTCCAGGTGCTCCTGTCTGAAGACGCGGAAAAAAGGTTGTGCGCCTAACCTGACGTCGGAAATCCGCCCGCACCCTCCGCCCTCCATCCCACCCCCCATTGCCCGCACCCCGCGGGCCCGCGACCCAGCGCGCGGGCCCCCCGGCGCTCCCTTCCCTGAATGGCCTGCTGGGCCGCCGCAGGACTTCGCAAACGTTCATCCTGCGCCCCGCGCTCGTCGCGGAGGTTCACAGCGGCGAGGGGAGAGCCCTCCGCTCGAAAACCCCTCCCTTGAAGCCGATCCCCGAGCAAGGTGCCCCACGGGAGGCAGAAGAGAGGACAACAGGCCCGAAAACCCTACCAGTGATTCGGGGGATCGCATTGGTCGGGCAGGGGAGGGGGTGGAGAGGAAAGTTGGGGAATAATTTTGGTGTCTGCGGAGGTTGGGGTGGGGTTGGCGGGCCCGGGCGGGGCCCGGGCGAGGAGGGATCGCGCGGCAGGGGGGATAGGCGGGATGCAGGTGCGGGTGAAGGTGTACCGGCTGAGCCAGGAGGGCCGGTGGGACGACAAGGGCGCGGGGTACGTGTCGGTGGAGTTCCTGAACCAGTGCGAGGCTCCAGGGCTGGTGGTGGTGTCGGAGGAGAACCACGGCAAGCCGCTGATGGTGCACCGGATCCGACGGGACGTGCCGTACCACCGGCAGGGCGAGGACACGATCATATCCTGGCAGGACCCGGAGTTCGGCACCGAGGTGGCGCTGAGCTTCCAGGAGAGCGTGGGCTGCGACAGCATCTGGAACGAGCTGGGGGCGCTGCACCCGGAGGTCTTCGGCGGGGGGCCGGGCGCGCGGCGGCGCGGCTGCGTGGATGAGTTCGAGAGCGTGACGTCGGTGAGCGGGGAGGAGCCGGGGGGGCCCTGCGCCGTGGAGCTGCCGCCGCCGTTGATGGCTAACCTGGAAGAGCTGGCGCGGGTCCTGAACGAGGCCGGGCTGCATCAGCGGGAGGCGTTGGCCGCGCAGCTGCTGCAGTGCGACTACATCCCCAAGGTGCTGAAGATGTTCGAGACGTGCGAGGACCTGGAGGACAGGGCGGCGCTGGTGAACATATACCGAGTGGTGCGGGGGATGATCATGCTGACGGACTCCGCGCTGCTGGAGGAGCTGCTGAAGGAGCAGCACGTGATCCCGGTGGTGGGGGCGCTGGAGTACGACCCCGACGTGCCTGTGCACATTCGGCACAGAGAATTCTTGCGGGACAAGGCCCTGTTCAAGGAGGTGGTGCCGGTGACGGACGAGAAGGTGAAGGCCAAGATTCACCAGACGTACAGGATACAGTATCTGAAGGACGTGATCTTGCCGAGGGTGCTGGACGACCAAGCTTTCACGACGATGATGTCCCTGGTGCTGTTCAACAACATGGACGTCGTGTGTGCCCTGGGGCGGGACGAGAAGTTCTTGCCAGAGCTGTTCAGGCAGCTGCAGGAGGGGGCGATTGGGGACCAACACTGGGCAGACCTGGTGGCCTTCCTGCAGGAGTTCTGCAGCCTGCTGAGGCATTTGCAGCCTGCGCTGCGTCAGCAGCTGTATGCCAAGCTCGTGGAGCTGGGGCTGTACAGAGTTCTGACCCGGGTTATGAAGGAGGGCAAGACAGGCATGAGGCTCAAGGTGGCAGACATCCTGTTGTCGGCTGTGCAGCAGGATGGGCAGTCATTGCGCTTGTTCCTGGTGGACCAGCCAGACCATGAGTTGTTCTTCTTGCTGGTGAGGGAGTTGACCGAGGGGGCCGACTATGGCCTGTCTGAGCAGATCATGGATGTGATCAGGACGATGCTTGACCCTGAGACGATGGACCAAGGTGCTTCCGACAAGAAGATCATCGACATCTTTTATGAGAAACATCTGTCTTCGTTGGTAGAGGCACTCGGGAGCGGGCTGGGAGGAGCTGGGCAGCGCCAGGACAGGTGTCTAGCTGCCCCTAGCAGAGGCCTCATTCTGGAACTCCTGCGGTTCTGTGTGCAACACCACACATACAATATCAAGTACTATGTCTTGAAAAACAATGTACTGGAAAAGGTGCTGACACTGCTGAGGGTGCCTGAGAAATGGCTGGTGGTGGCTGCCCTGCGATTTGTGAGGACATGTGTAGCGGAGAAGGACGACTTTTACAACCGCTATCTGATGAGGAACAATCTGTTCGAACCTGTGGTAGACCTCTTTATAGCGAATGGGGAGAGATACAACCTGCTCAATTCCACAGTGATCGAGCTGATGGAGTTCATCCGGAAGGAAAACATAAAAGCACTGATCGTCCACATCGTCGAGAAGTTCTACCACAAGCTGCAGGCTGTGACGTATGTAGATACCTTTGCACAGCTCAAGCAGAAGTATGACCAGTCGATGGAGAGGGGTGGAGGGGGCTTCACCGATGGTTTCGGCCCCGTGCTGGGCTCAGCCTCCAACCGACGAGACCCAAGGGAGATGGATCGTGATGAGGAGGACTATTTCCGCGATGCTGGAGAGGAGACGGATATCATGCCGGCCACTGCGATGGCGATTGCGCCCGCTGCAGCCATGGGTGGCCCTGTGTCCAATGGACCTCTGAGCAACGCATGCGATGTGCGGCTTGTGCCATATGAGGAGGATGAGGATGAGGAGGCAAAGCCTGAGGGTCAGTTGCATGGGGGAGGGCAGGTGGCCACAAGTCCTGGTGTAAGCAACGACCAGGGCAGCAAGAGGCACCCAGAGAGGGCCTCTCCAGAAGGGAGTTTTAAGAGATCCAAGCCCCGCTGACCTCGGGGGATAGTGGGGCGTAGCCGGTACAGTAGGAGTTTAGATTGGATTGTGTCATTGCGGGCGTCGGCGAGGGGTTGCAGGACACCGCTGCGAGAGAAAAATATCCATGAGAGCATGAGAAAATGGTTCTGGTTGTGCGCGGTTGCCAGTGTTGTGGTGCCTGGAACGATATAAGCATGTAGCATGTAGCTCTCTGGTTGTGGCCCACAATCTGGCGTGTAAAATGGCTGAAGCAGCGGAGTGTGTCAGCCATGTCTGGCCGATCATGACTCCAGCTCCGCACACCCAAGACATCATTTTTGGGGCCGAATTCAAAGACATGTCACATTTGCACAATTGATAAGACAACCTGTGCAATCAATATTTCACATGGTGGGCCAGGGAATGCTATGCTGGTGGGGTCCTCGAATTCCATGGTCTTGCTGTCCCGCCTACATGTGTTGTTTCTGCGTGGTTGCTGCCGTCACTGAGATTAGTGAGGCCTTTCGTTGATTCCGTGGTCTTGCTGTCCCGCCTGCATGTGTTGTTTCTGCATGGTTGCTGCTGTCACAGAGATTAGTGAGGCCTTCCATCGCTGCATGTCGAGTCCCAACTGTGACACACACTGCATGCCCGCCCTCGTGTCCCTTTGACTGCCGCAGGCAGGCGCTGGCACGGGAGGCACGTGCTGTTGGGCGAGCACCAGTTCTGTCTGATCCCAGCAGGTACTGTCTCTCCAAAAATCCCCACCACCGCCACCCCAACCCCTCTGTAAACTGTGCTGTTGCGCCCCTGTGCATACAGTGCAGCAGAACCTCATTTACCAAGCTGCCAAATCCTGAAATACCACTAGCCCTTCCCTGAGTAAGCGACGCCCGACATTGTTGATGTCCACACCAGTAGTGGAGCATGGTCTCGCAGGAGAATGTCAAAATTCCCTGCGGCTGTTGTGACCTTCCTACTTTAGTCCTGCTCTGCCTGATAATGTTCATGCCAGCAGTGCGAGGCGCCACCTCCCATTCTATTGATTGGTTTGGACTTTTTGGTCCAGCGCTCAGTGTTGTTGTACGTCTCTCGCTGCCTGTAAGGAGCATACCAAACAGCTGCCGCTTTCACTACGGCCAGCCAGTGTGCACCTAGAAGTCGAAGCACACGTAACATGGTTGCAAAATGCAGCGAGTGCCTTCAACAAGGATGAGACCATTCGAGCATGCCCAGAATACCAAATGCACCCACAGAAAAAGATTTGCCGGCCACTTCACGACCAACACTTGTGAGCATGCGTCCCTGTTGCATTTCCTTGTTCTCTCCCTTGTCCATGTGCGTCACACCCAAACCAAGAACGATGTCTGTCACCAGCCCCCACCAACGGAACCTGATACAGTGCCAAGGCATGCGAACACGACAGGCTTCCCCTTGCAAGGCGTGTTGTCGGTCCAACACGTGGAGCAGTTCCTGGATGTATGGGACCTGTGGACGCCGTTGGACGTTGCCAGGTTGGCATTGTGGCTGTTCAAGATGGCGGTGGGAAAAAAACGAGCTTCGGGCTTTGTCGTTATTTGCGGCGCTGATACGATTGCGAAATTTCAGTGATGAAGGCTGTCCATGGGTTTCCAGGGTCGCTGTTTGAAGTCTGAGCCAAAGTTGGCGATCTGGGTTGGGAAGGCGCAGCACACGGATGCGTGTTGTGTTGTTTTCAGCGGTCTGGACGTAGCCCAAGTCGCTGGGCGGTTCCTCTCTAGGCCCCCTCGAGGCCTGATGAACTCCATTTAATGAAGTCTATGAAGCAGAATGTATGGACCAGCTACTTTGCCACAATGAGCGGAAGGAATTCGCACTCCCAACAGGACGCCAGGATTTATCGTGGCCCTCCAAAAAGACCTCACAACCTTCTCTTTACAATTTTGTTCAGAGTATATTGACTGTAGCAGGTCCTTACGAGAACTTCTGGGTTAGCACTGCCAGCTCTGCTCAGAGACGCAAAACAGGCGTAACATTTCGCCAACAAAGTTGCGTCTGCATCATCTGGTGTCTTTGTAGAGGCATGAGGGCGAGAATTCGTAGTACATCTTCACAAACCGAATTTTGGCCTCAGATGCCTGCTCTCCCTTCAAAGCCTCCCAGGCGTCCCATCTCTCGCGACCCTCGAAATCCAAGCCGCCCCTCTCCGCCCACATGGGCCTCTCCGTGTCGTTATCCCCTTTTATCACTTGGGTGCACAGCCCATACAACTGGTAGAATGGCGCTGGCTTCACCGTGGCACCCCCAGGCTTAGAAATCATGCGCCAATTCAGCTTTTCGTATTTCTCGGACAACTCGTCGAATTCGGAAGGGCTGTAAGACGCTTTTGCATGTGGGGAGGGCTTGCTCGCAGGGTCACTTGTGCCTGATTTAGCCAGCTCCGCCGCTTCCGCCCGCAGCTTGCGCAAGGTTGTTTTCGCAGCTGTTGATGGGGCACAACATCGGCCATCATGTAGAAGAGCAGGAGTAGTGGGAAATGTAATGGCGTAACGTCTGTATTGCAGAGACTTTGCATTTAGTTTTGTAATGGATACTTAGTTCCAACGTGCGTGCAATGTCGACCGCATGCACATGTGAAAAATGGCGTAGGAAGCAAACTTAAGATTGGACGACGTTGCCCATTCTCGCGATGTTGTCTATATTGTAGAATTGTACGGAAGGGCCGTGTCGTGGATCCTTTCAAAGGCATTTTTAAAATCCGGCCCATATATACCAGTCTGCATTACTCATGCAAGATTTTCGGCAATTCAACACGACTGTACACGAAACCAAATTGTGCAAATGGGACGTTCAATTTGTCAGTGACGCCATTCAATTTCTCGCCTCTTCCAGCGACACACCTTCTGCTGTGGTTCGTTTGCCGAAGTCCATGGACAGATATCGACAACACTCAAGGGTCACCGTTGCCAGCCGACTTTAGCCGACGGGTCCCCTCCCGAACAAACTGAACGATCAGCATCGATGAAGCTCGCCAGAACAATGAAACCAACAACCAGTGGAATGTAAAAGCATTCGTTCGAGCCCGTTTCTAGGGACCCTGCAGCGTTGCCAGAGCTGGCTCCCACCTCTCAATTTCTGCCGCTTGTCCCCCGGCGTGGCCATGAGGAAGGCCGCCTGCCTGATGGCGGTCTCCAGCGCCCGAGCATCGTTGCCAGCGCTCTGCAGCGCCGCCACGGCTGTAGACGCGTCCACGGTCGCAGCCATTGAACCACCCTGGGGAGCAGACCTGCAGTTCGGACCGCGTTTAGAATCAGCGTCAGCAATTCAACCACGGCAATCCAACGGGTCTATATTTAGCGAATCTCACAGATTGGGCGGACTTGGGTGCAGGCAGTCCGGCTTTTGCTTGGGAATGCTTGCGGACTACTACTGTTGCGATCCCTACACCAGCGCCGTCGGTTCTTTGCCGGTGAAGCCCACCAATTTCCGCACACAGCTGTTTCGATTGCGAGCGCGAGCTTCCGGTCGGGCGGAGCGGACTCGATCCAAACCGGCAGCCGCCGATGCTCAAACGACGCGACCCGCTCGGCAACTGTCGTTCAGGCGCCCTCAAACGTCCTCGGGCTGCCCTTGAAACCCCCCAAGGCCAAAAGTCACCTGTCTGCTTGCGCCCAGTCGTTTTAGGCGATGCGGCTGCGTGGGGCTGGTTCGCGGGTCAAGAAGCTGCGACGGGCGATATCTTGTGCGGCTGGCCAGGGGACTGCCCGCGATCGTCAAGTCCAATGGGCACTGGCCGGCTGGCGGGTACCATATTGGACGAATCGAAGCTGGTCACTGACCGTCAGCGACCAGCTTCTGACTCATAGATTGAACAATCCTGGGCTATTTGGATCGTTCAATCGGTGAATCAAGAAATGTAATATGTGCTACTTCTTGGAGTGGTAGATTGCCATGGCGCTGGACGTTCTGAGAGAAACCGTTACCAAAACCTGTTTTTTGCTACGCGTTGATGGCGCCCTGGGGGATCTGGAATAGAGGGGATCGTTGTGCAACTGCCATATTGCGACCTTTGTGAATGTCCAGCTTCACAAATTGCGAGGTCTGGAGGGGCCTGCCTCTGACCCAGCAGATGAGGTGGCCATCTACAACTGCCAGCTTGAAAGAACGGAGAGATGCTTGGCCGAACATGCTGACCGCTTTGATATCAGACATTTTACAGGACACAAGATGCACGCGTCATGGTGTAGGAGATCTGCTGTTGCCTGAGAGAGCAGATCGAGGAGTATGGGCTAGCGGATGCTGCGTGGATCAAGGCGAGGGCGCAGCCATCAGCTGCCTGAAATCGCTGGAACCAAAACTGTCGAAGGGTTTTTCTATGAGAACCCAACATAGTGCGGCCATCCTCAATATTGGGTATCCATCCAAATTGCAGATGAACTCACAAATGGTTGCTTTCTTCTTTGCAGGGGTGCAAACATTATTTTGTGTGAAAGTGGAACGACTGTTACATTTGGTAGCAATTCTTTTAGTTTTGACAGTCCCCCAGAACTACTCAATTCTGCCACAATGCGCCAGTGCTCTCTTCGCAACAGTGTTGTTCTTTCTTGTGATGCAAGAAGAAGCACAAAAGAGAACAAAAACCAAAGGAAGCTTATCGGTGCCTACCAATGGAAGCAGGCAAGCATCCTATGTTTCTCGACAACACTCGCCACAGACATACTGTGGGGAGGCAAGTTCCATTGACGGGAGCTTCATTGTTTGTGTATTGTGGACAGAGACATTTATAATTGAAAGCCAAAATAGGATCCACGCATGATTCAAGCCAACTAGGAGCAATGTGCTATAATTATGAAATAATGGTTGACAATCGGTATGTCTGGATGAATTTAATTGATAGGTGAAAAGAACATCAAAAACAAAAGTACAATGGTCTATTAAGAATTAATGTATTGTTTGAAAGACCACTAGTAAATAGGCACGAATGGCCACATGCAAGTATGACGTGAAGTGCACAATCAACAACTGAGGTGTCACCGTTCAGGGAAAACAAAGGCATGTGCAGCATACTCAGCTGACAAAATTTGAACGTGTGGTATTGATTACAACGTGTTGTATAGAAAAACTGAAAATAAAGTCGACTCTTGATCCCTGAGGGTAAGCTGTCCACTGCAATCACATGTTGAGGCCAAATGTGCACGCACACTGATCGTTTGTGCATGCGCAACTTGATTATTCTTATTAGAAAAGGGATTTGCATGCAAAAAACGTCTTTGCGCAGTCAATGATAGTTGCATCATGGCACAAACAAAAGATGGGTGTTGCTGCGAGGGAGCAAAATACGTTGTATTAAGACAGCAAGAGTTGCTGCAACTTAAAAGAAGAGGTAGCCAAGCCAGATTAACGGGAGTGTCAGAAGGGCTTAAGAGAAATCCAGAGTTACCAGTGGGCAAAAGGAACAATCATTGAATGGAGCCGCTAAAGTGCAATCAAACATTGAATAAGCTATAGGAATCCAAGGGAATGTACTTAGGAATAGACAATCATAACAATGCATATAACAAAGGATAGACGGGGATGTTTGAACAAATCCCTTCTATATACAACATTCATTTCCCAATACCCTTGCACTTTGTGAAATCCATATGTTCAAATGTTTCAAATGCAATGTACCCCAATCGTCCATCCTCAATTTGCAATATCATGTCCACACAATGCCAATTTCCACATATAGTATTGCGCCCTATTGGGCATGCCATGGGTCATTCGCATAGTGGCACAGAGGGGTTTTTCCCATAGCAAAGAGTTACACACATGACAACACAACAATGACACAACTTGTACAAATGTTCGTCCAAAAGATTGACCAAATGTATATAATGTGTAACCATTAAATGGTGGGTCCAAAGGTTACTATTTTATTTTGCGACAGTGAAATTGTTCATTTTTGCGACGTGTTCTTTTTTGCGACAGTGCTGTTTTTTAATGCCACAACGTTCATCATTTCTGTGACAATGCCCGAAGTGTTCTTTTTTGTGACAGTGGCCGGGTTGCTCTTTTTTGTGACAGTGGCCCGGACTAGTGTGTGACCTGTAGGTCGCCGCTTCGCCGCCCCTTGGGGCACGCCGACGAGCAAAACGGGGTTGCCGACCTTGAGGCTTCCAGAGCCGTAGGCAGCCACAATACAGGAAGCAGGGCATGCACAACGCAAAAGCAAGGTCAAAACCGATGGGCGAGTGCCGTGGCGATTGACTGGTGGCCCGGCGGGAAATGGCGCGTGGTTTTTCCGCGCGCCCCCCTTGCGATGGATCGACGATCCCTCCGGCGGATGGCCAGGCGTAATCGGCACGGTCGCTTGCTCGATCTCGATGCGGCGCGGACGTGGTGGGCCCCTTGGCGGAACGGCCTCTGCGGTGCGTCAGTCGGAAGGGCGGATTGGGTCCGGTGTTGCCTTGCGCGCGGTTCGCAGGCAGGCGGTGACAGCAAAACGGATGTTCGTTACAGGGTTCCCAGCGTCTTGTCCCCGCGGCACACAGCACGGTTACATAACCCTCATGTCACCCTGTACTTAAACCACCGTCCCCACAAGCACCCAGACCGTCTGGGAAGCCCTCTTTCTAATGCAGCGATATGGCCCGAAAATGGCCAAAATCCCCAAATCGCTTCGCTGTGCTCGATGCTCCCCGAAGGCGCAGATAATTGGTCCGCGCGCCTTTGCATCACATCTCACTCTGCTCGTATAAAGAACCAAAGACAATGTTCACACAACAACTACCTCCCCCTGGGGGTAGTTTTCGACCTCAAAAACAAATCAATCGTCTGTCGGCGGTCTCTGGTCCTCTGTGGGCTTGTCTCGTTGGATCATCTTCTCTAATTCTTTGGTGCTTGTGAAGTTTTCTGCCGGGATCCATGTCGCATCGTCAAGAGACCAGCCTGTCCACAACACAAGGAACTACTTTTGTTGTTGAATGCTTGGTCCTCGCCACCGCCATCTCAACAACTTCTCCACATCATAAGGCTCATCCTCCTCTGGCTCCAGCTCTCCCACTGCAGGTTCGGTAGACGTAGTCCACTGCGATGTCCTGAAGGGGCGTAGCAAGCTCGTGTGGAATACGGGATGAATCCTCCACGTAGATGGTAGATCCAACTCGTATGCAACAGGTCCGATCCTCTGAGTAATGAAGAAAGGTCCAATGAACCTGCGCTTCAGCTTGCGTACAGGTGCATTCTTGAGCTGTAAATTCTCTGTACTGAGTAGCACCTAGTCACCTGTATGGAACACCTGCTCACGTCATCTCTGATCTGTGTAGTTCTTCTGCCTGTCATGAGCTCTGCGCAGATGCTGATGAGCCTTGGTGAAGATCTTCTGCATTCGAGACACAAAAATATTGACTCCCTCATGGAAGGTGGTGTCAACGTCTCGAATAAGTTCTGCCGGGGTATACGGGAGGTAGCCATAGTTCAGGTAGAATGGCGTGTACCCAGTTGCCATTGACGGAGTGTTGTTGATGGTGAATTCTGCCATTGAGAGATATTTCTCCCACTGGTGGGGCTCTTGACTCGCATGTAGTGTGCAGCGCAATGTCATCTCCACCACCCAATTGACAGCCTCTATCTGTCCGTCGGTTTGTGGGTGGTGCGCTGTTGACATCCTCAGCTTGCTTCCCAACAACCTCCAGAATTCCTGCCAAAACCTGGAGACGAACCTTGGATCCCTGTCGCTGACAACTGATCTCGGAATCCCGTGTAGTTTCCCCACGTAGTTCCAGTAAACCTGGGCTGTCTCTGCAGCTGTGATGGTCTGGTACACCGGAATAAGATGTACCATCTTGGTAGCCCGGTCCACAACTGTGAGGATCCCATCTCGTCCAGATTCTGACTTGGGCAGTCCCATGATAAAATCCAAGCTGATATCTGCCCACTTCTGTTCTGGTAGCTGCAGTGGCTGAAGAAGTCCTGCTGGTTGGCGATGCACACTTTTCTCTGATTGACACACTGGACAGCTGGTCACGAATTCCCTGATGTCCAATGTGTGATCCGGCCAGTAAAAGTTCTGCTGTAGTTTTTTCAAAGTCTTCTGATATCCCACATGTCCTGAGTAAGGCACCGAATATACCTCCTCCATGATTTGCTGCTTAACCTCAGGGATATCAGGAATAACCAATCTCCATCTATTTGCTCCTTCTGGTCCTTCACAATCATGAATCTCCAAGCAATCATGAGAAATTCTGAATTCCTTAACTCCTCTCTTGACCAGATTTTTCTGT